CACAGACCTTCAAGGATTTCCTCTTCAGTACACTGAAGGAGGTGATCCTCAGAGATGACGCCGCGGACAGTTTCGAAGTGCGGTTCGTGGTTACAGAAACTTGGTGTTCGCCTAAGCTTCTCAACTGGAGTAATGCTGTGCTTTGAGTTTTATTTTCTACCTCAACGAGGAGGTCCCCACCAAGTTTTTTTGCCTTGTAATTCTTTCCGATCGTCTGCTCTAGGACCTTAGAGACAAGGAAAGGTGACATCTTTGACAGCGGTAGACTGTCGCTTGCAGCATGAAGTACAAGAAAACGTGAAAAGCTGTTGGGTTCTTTGACTTTTACAAAAGTAAGAAAGAGCGGGGCGACCCCTTTTGGGGGGTCGCTTTGCTCGGGGTTTAAAAGAGAGGGATGCCATAAAAAGGCAAGGATGTTCAGAGCCTGTGGTGTGCCGCCCACCACGCAGCCCAACAAGGGAATATATAACGCACCATAACAACAAGGGATTTGCTGGACGCGTTATGCTATTAGCACTGCCTAGGGTGCCTTCATGCACTGCCCAGGAATTATAACCAAGTGTGGTTCTGGACAAGGGGTCTGTCGCCACCCTACATTAGCCCTTGCCGCCAAAGGAGTTGAAAAAAGAAAGAAGAGAAATGAGAAGAGTGAAAAGAAGGAGAAGACAAGGGCGAAAGAAGGGACGGGATTGTTGAAGAGGTGGCGACTGACTGAATCATCCTGGTCGGGCCAACCCAGGACACCCGTCTTAGGGGGGGAGGGGGCGGGGGGGGGGGGGGGGCGAAGGGGTGTATTGCCTCACCCTGGGGGCCCCGAACAGTCCAAACCTACCCCGGGCTCGACTCAACCACCAGGATGCCCTTTTCCCAGGACAAAGGAAAGCCACGCACAGCCAGAGGTGGGCGGGCGAACCCGCATGGCTCGGGGTCCGTGTTGACGCCACTCACCAAACACCTGCTTTCACAGGTGCCCAGGCGTTTTTGTTTTAAGATATTAGTGCCTTGAAACTTGAGCTTGCTAAACTAGGATCAAATGAGCTCTTTTACTAAGCCTCTGCGTCTTTTCATTAGACTGTCATCCCAGCTTGTAGAATGTTTTTATCTTCTTGTTGGTCTGCCTCCTGCAGAATTGAAGTGATACCGCTCCAGGCGACCTAACGTTGTCAATTTGACTCATTTGAAATTTCGTTAAACGTGGCCTTCCAGCGAATTTAGCGTTTCAGCCCCGCCTTTTGACCCTATTTTTGTGTTCGTTTCACTGCGGAATACATGACTCGCCGCTTGTTTTTATTGAGTTTTATTTTATTTGCTCTTGTTAAACCCCGCAGGAAAAAAAAAACTGCAACTTAGGGTTTTGGACAAAGGTAATACAAAATTATATCTCATTTTTCTTGAAATTACTTCCTCAGTGTAACCTTACTAATATGTTAGGTGAGAAAAAAGATGATGTATTACAATAAAACAAATTTAACTACTAATGTCAGTACTGCAATATTTGTGGTACAGGCAGCTACGCGCACACGTTGAAAGCGCATTCTAGGCATCGTTGTAGGGTAGGGCTGGGCAAAATTGGACGTTATGACTTTAGCGCCATTTGTATGCGAATCTTCATTTGTGATTAATTTAATACTTTGCTGGCATGTGACGGCATTCGTCCGCTTTACTTCGTAAAACACTCACTGCATTTGGTGAAAACACGCTAGTGAAAAACAATTCTCGGTGATTGTTTCTAGGTCGACGAGCCGCTAAATTCGAGTGACATATTGTAACTTGCGTTGTTCTGGAGCCGTGCAGCTGAGTTTGTAAAAACTACTGTAGCAAGAAAAGTTATTTTATTTTTACCACTTGTTGGCTAACTGAGTATAAAATGTTATCGCTCAAGGTTTCGTAGGACGATAAAATTGTTTAAATAATAGTATTTACATAGGGCTAAAACGCTACAATAACTCCATCAACGTGCGCAAACAGAATTTTTTTGTTGCTTTTTTTTGTTTTTGCGCAGTCAGTATTTGTTTTTAGCTATAGTTCTTTTTGTTACTGTATATATGATGGACCAGACGTGCAAAACAGAAACACGCAGAGCTTCATGCAGTGCAAAAGTGACATCCAATGACCTAGTAGGATTACCTTGTAGGATGGCTTCCATGTTTCTGCATTTCTGCATCAGTGACTCGATTTTTCTCTTTATGTACACTAACAAAAACGTTTTGTTCAACCACTATCTGTAGGGGGTCGAGTACACGTCAAGCTGCTTTATAGCAGCTTTTTTCCTCGGTCTCCCCCATCTTTGATGGAAATAACGGCGATTATTATTAAATAAAAAACTTAAACCTGTGCCTCAGCAACGTCAGTTTATTTGCACCCCAGCCAAAGTTTTCGGGGTACCAAAGGATGCACACCAAATGCGTTCGTAAAAACAAAACGGGGGAGAGAAAAAAAAAGACAAGCACGTGTTTTACACAAGTTATTTCAAAACTAAGCACGAAGTTTTTAATCACAAAAATAAAAAAGCAAACCTTGTGCACATTGTGAGTGCAGAGTAGTCCCTCTTTGGGCTCACATGCGAAGATGTGCAAAGGATTATTCACGCCAACTTCGAAGCAAATAAATCCGAGGATAAAAAGTTTTTGGAGTAAAGAAGATAATCTGCAGCCTCCTCGTTCATTGAACAGGCCGGTAAAGCGGAAGCGTTCTGCCAACCTCACGAAGAGCGCCAAATGTGACTGGTAGCACCTGCTGTGCAAAAAAAAAAAAAAAAATCCTTGGAGCAAAACAGCGTCTCGTTCTGCGTGGATTATTGAGGAGTTTTCGTAGATCGTTTTCTCCGTCCCACAACGCCCTCCGCAACCCGCTACGATGCCCGGAACTCTACAGTCAAGGCTACCGGCGCGCAGGCGCAGTAGCAACTTCGTTGCGGAGGGCTTAGCAGAGGAGGAAACGCGGTCTGTGAAAACTCCCTATTGCCACGGCGTGCGAAGAGTGAGCTTACGAAGACTGCGTAGGGACAGACGGAGTACACTTCAAATGTTCCGAGTGCAAAAACTAAACTATCCCGTTTCTTTCCTTTTTTTTTCCTTTTTTTTGACAGGGTGTCTTATTTTTGTCCTGCTAGCTGTGACATTTTGCCCCAGGGAAAGACGATGTGAGGGGTAAAAGGACGGAAACTAGGAAAGCTGAAGTGGGGAGGAGCGACCTTTTTCCCCCAACGGCTTTTCTCGTGGGATCCATTTTTCCCCTCGCACTGTCTTTCTTCTGTTGTGTGTACCTGACCTGTTACGTTTTGCTCCGGGGGTCTGAAAAAAAATGAGAGATTTCTGACTTTTTATTCTGTTTGATTTCTTTTATTTATACTAACTCGAGTCTAATCCTTTTCACTCACCGCAATGCCAAGACTCTGGAAAAATATTTTCATTGTCTTATTTCTTTGATGCGCAATAACAAGAACAGCATCGATTTGAAAATGTCTTTCTCATTTTGCCCGCTTTACCAGCCTATATTTTTAAAGGAGTTCTGCAACAACCTCAGTGGGCTAACGCGTCTCAGCTCGGAGCGTGGAGCGAAAGCTTGTACTGCAGAACCTCTTGGTTTCGATCCCTACACCCCGCCCGTTTCGATCTGGATGAGCTGCGTACTGGCACGCGTTCGTGTAATCACTATACTGCGTGCTGCACGTTAAAGACCCCCAGGCTAGCGGTTGTACTGCGCGGGTTAAATTTCTTATCTACAGCTAAGAGACCACCCCTGGTCGCTGCCAACATCAAGGCTGTCTAAACATACAAGCAACAGAAGTTTTGTGCTTTGCTTAAATGATTGTGGGAGTTGGTGTGAACCCGTCTGAAGTAAAGAACACAAGACCGCCTTTTCCCACATATCCTAGTTTTTATTTTAAAACAAAATGACAAAGATTGATGTTTTTGGCACCTCTCCACTCCTTCGCCATCTGCCGAGTTACGTGCGCTGTGACGTGAAAGGGAGACGCATAGACTTCGGATGGATGCCGCCACTGAAATTCCATATAATAAAATTTTGACGATGACAATTGTTTTTTTTACACATTTATATTTATGTCTATGTTAACCTTTTATTAAACAGGTAGCTGCACAACTTTGCTTTTTTTGTATAAGTCCCGTTTTGACGTCATGCCCCGTGGTTCTCATTGCCGCCACTCGCGGCTGCAGATCGTGAAATACTGTCATTTTGGCCTCGCGATTACGCGGCGCGATCGAAACATTTCGAAGGAAGGCGAGGTGTTCTGAGTCCTATGTGAAAGTCAAAGTGTGTGAATGTCAAAAGTGCAAGATGCAAATTCATTCTACGTTACCAGTGTTGCACACCTCCTTTGGGCGGGCGGTATATTTATTAAAAGAAGCAGTAAAAACTTTTACCGCATACTCTCCTCTTTGCTCCTGGGTGGTCACAGAACGACTGACCACAGTAACGCATTGGATGGCACACATCGCCAATATCGCGTCACTAAGGATGCAGTGCTTATTTTCTTGAACAAACATATTTTCCGAAGTTCGGTTTGCATTTATTCAACACTGAGGTTTTATTTGTATCGTCATCCAAATGTCACATATAGCTAGAACGACGCACTCGAGAGTTCTTTGCCGATCTTGCAAAATGACCAGTTTGGTGCCCTGCGTACATCGCACTTCTCGGCCAACTTCGTTGCTACGTTGGCTGACCTTTGTCCATATGTATTATCCAATGAGATCCTATACAGCGCAATTTGACATGAGTGACGCTAATAATACCTCACCAAAACAAAACCGTCAAGAAATAAACACTCCATCAGTTTTTATTTCAGTGTTTGACAAAAACCTGCCAAACATTATTTATCTCCAAAATATCAAGATGGTAGCTAACGCTTCGCTAAAATAAAAATAAAATAGCTTTTGTTAGAATTTAGGTTTCTGCTTGGATGATACGTTCTCATTTGTTCGACCAGTCTTCGCTACTTGCTTGCTTTGTTACACTTTGCGAACGTCGTTATTCAATCAGAGTTTGTTCACCTGTCCCGCAAAGAGAATGTCACGCGTGTCTTTGTTCCGGATAAAAAAGAGGAAAGGGTGGTCAACGGAAACGTGGGCTGTCAGATCTCCACCAACAATAAGGGGCACAGCAACGGCTGTGACGGCTGCCGCCTCGCTGTATTTTTCATTAACCTCGATGACTGCCTTGTGGACAACCTTCGACACACGCAGCGCCTCGCGGTCACTGATGCCCGACAGGTCGGCGCCATCGCTGAAGATGTTCCTTATGCCCAGGTTATTCAAAGGTTCCTTGAGAGAGTATTCTGTCTCAAACTTGAACCTTGAGGAAAGACAAAAAAAGGCAAAATACATTGTATGGGGTCAAACAACACCGTGATTACTTAAGAGAAACCTAACCCTCTAAGAGTCTTGATGAACATCAGAAAACTTTGGGGTAACTATATAATAACTAAGCTTACTGACGATTCCTGCTCCAGACACTGACACTTCCACGAACCTTTCCATTTATATCTTCGTCTCGATTTTTAAAAGATTGTTAAAAAAGAAAATTCATGAATGCCAACAACGAAAAATTAAACTTCTAAACACTCGAACGCAGACACGAACAGTCCCAGTGAAACTACGTACCTTAAACATGGCATTCAAGGTTTAATGGCTTAAATGTTGGGTGCATGGTCTGCTGGCAAACTTTTTGTGGCGCTATTAAAGTGGCGAAACTAAAGTTTTATATTACGTGCAGAAAACCCTATCTCGTATGGAACGGGAAGGAACCTTACTTCAGGGCGTTAGTCAGGAGTTTTCGTAGATCGTTTTCGCCGTCGCGCAACGCCCTCCGCAACCCGCTACGATACTCGGAACTTTGCAGTCAAGGCTATCGGCGCGCAGGCGCAGTATCAACTTCTTCGTTGCGGAGGGCTTGGAGGAGGATGAAACGTCAACGAAAACTCTCTATTATTTACAATCCAAGCACCATATGCGTAGTTATCGGGGGTACTTACTTCGGCAGGGTGAGGTATACCTCTCTCTCCCTTAGTTCTGCGAACAGATGCTCAAAAAGGTTCACTGTGAGGTTCCCTTTGAGGGCTTCTACTCCGTCCTTCTTTTGGGGCAGCATGATGGTCATGCTGTAGTCGTGCCCACTGTAGGGCAGATCGACCATATCGAGTTGCAAATGATCAAAAAAGTTGTGATGCGTGTTGAATACACCTTGCATAGTGTCGACTTCGGTAGGAGTGAGTCCACCATTAAAGAATCGTCGCTTTCTCGTCAGCTTCTCATTAAAGCCCGTGCTCCACACTCCCTTGAAATAGATGGCATTGAGCAAGAGCATCCGCGTGTCAGGGCGAGGCGGCTCGCTGAAAAGTTTCTTGATTTTTTGCTCCGTCCTGTTTTTGACCCATCCGTTGATTATGTTCACAGCTTCCTGTCCTTTCTGTTTAAAATCGACCTTGTGCAGTTCCGCTTGGAACACGTTTTTGATGGACTCTTTGTACGCCGGTAGGACACTAAGACTTTCGTCGACAGCCGCTCCGTTAAACACGTTAATCGTCGTGTTGGAAGCACCAGGCAGAAAGTTTTGACTATGGCGAAAGTGCGCGTCAAGGACTTCGTCTCTGGTTAGCCCTGACTGAGAGTAACCCAGGCCCCTCAGCAGCTCTTCTTGTGTTTTACCCTTAGCGCCAGCGTATGCCATTCCCATCGCCATAGACACGCTGTAAGGTGAAAAAAATAGGTTTTCTTCTCCGCTGCTTGGTAGGTTCTGAAGAAGCCGGATGCCGAAATGATTGTTCGCTGTAGTTAGCTTGTCTTTTTCGCCGAGGACAACGGCGCAGAAAGGCAGGATCACAAAAATGGCCCTCATCGTGTTGTACCCTGCGTTTGGACGCGAAATAAAAGACATTTATATTCTTATTTGCTGTAACCTATCTCTTAAACTTCGCTCAGTAAAAAAACACAAAAATTGCCCCAAATTTGACACATACGAAAAAAAAAAAAAAAAAACTTCAAGCCTTTTTATTCTGGAGAAGAAGACTAGCGAAGCTGTACTATGGTGGGAATGAAGTAATGGCCGTCCGCAAGTCGGCAAGCCAGAGTGAAAAGGCTGGAAAGGTTGCCGCAATCTTTTGGCGATGGTGGCAAGCAGACAACCGGCAAACACAACACTCTGGACAGCTGCCGCCATCTATGAGCGACGGTGGCAACCAAAGTGTTGTGTGGACATTTGTTTGGTACCGGACATGATCCTGGGGAAACTAGCCCTTAAGAGCTCCGCTCTAATATAATTGGCGTGTTTGTCGCCCAGTATGTCTCACGTGGCGAACTAAAGGTCAACGTATCTCGTCGACGCTACAAAAGGCAGCTTTATAAACGACAGGGGTAAGTTTTCAGCAGTATACGATCACTTGTTCACAAGTATTTTCTTGTCTCGCCAATCACTGGCATTCAAAACGCAGGAAAGCATAGCGAGAAAGTAAATATGGCATTTCTGCGAGCATCACTAATGAATAGTTTTCCCGATAGGACTTGGCCGTAAGAATGCGACGCGGGATGTTGTGCACAAATGATACCGTGAAGCGGTGTCACAGGGCGTTCACTTATGAGAAAAACAGTCTCCGCATTGTCCCATTCTCATTGTGCACTTAGTTCATGCACTCACTGCAGGCGCAAACCAAGGTCACTTAATATTGGTGATCACTTTAAAAATGTATGCAAAAACAACTCGTTTGTCGGGAATTTGAGAGCGATGGAGAAGCTCATCGTTAGGTCTAAACGATGTTTTCAAAACTGTACTCACCCCTTAATGGAAGGCAGTCGTGTGAATCGATGGATGGGATACACGTTCAAAATATATATAGGAAGCACGCGTCCCAGCTTCGTCTCTATAAGGGCGGATTGTTGAATAGGCGCTTGCGGTGACCGCCGGCAATGAACCGGTTATTAAGGTGCCCTCGCTGAAACCTTGCCTCGCGACTGTTTGGGTACGTGTGTGACGACATCAGTATTGATTGCTTTTCTCTTGCGAAAGCTTACGGCAAGACGTGTGTATCTTAGAGCGCAACGTTCTGAGCAAGCAGCCTCTAAAAAAAAATCGCATTTTTAGTAAACTGAAAACAATTGTATCAAGGGGCTTAAAATATCAAAATAGAAAATATTTACGAGAACAAAGGATGGTCCAGGTGAGCTGGTGTAGAGTTACCGTATTCTCTAACCACCTGACACTGGGAGGAAAACGAGAAGAATTCAAAGTAGAGGAAGTAAGAAGCTCAATAACAAAAGGAAACGGCTCAAAAGTGATTGATTTTTACTGTGTATTTTCAATTTTGGTTTTTTCTTGTTCTCCACCCTTCGTCAGGTGGTTTTAGAGAATTGTCAAATATTTGTTTTGGTTTCTTGGGCTTGGCTGATCGCATATCTGGGAGTTTTGTACCTGGTATGTAAATAAAGTTAAACTTTCCACACACAAAAAAAAAAAACGCTATTATTCAAAACAGTAAAAATTTTACTCCTCGTCCCTATTGTAGCATTATTTGCTTGTATCTTCGGTTCGACCTCAATATATTTCTTAGCAAAGGTGCAACCTTCTTAGGCACCTTCAAACATAAAGTCCCCCGTAAAAGGTTTGAATTCTTTTATTGCACCACGCATTCTACAGGTTGTTGACTTGACCAGCAAAAATTATGTCATTCGTCCTCGTGTTCCGTATGAACAGGAGGAACGGATGGTCAGCGACAAACGCCACCGGCATGGCACTGCCGGGCAGGATGACGACACCCGTGGCTGAAGACGCTTCGCTGCCTTCTTCGCTCACCTCCAGAACCGCCTTGTGGACGACGGCCGAGACGCGCAAATTTCTGTCGCTGATTCCGGAGAGGTCGGCGCCATTGCTGAAGATCTGCCTTATTCCTAGGGCTGTCAAGGGGCCTTCCAGCTGGTATGTACTCTCCAGTTTGAACCTGTTCGAAAAAATTTCGATCGGAAAGACGGTAGACGTTAGAGTTTGTAGGATTTTCCTTGTTGCTACTCGTATCGGAGAATGACCCAACGCACTGCTTCAACCACACGTAGTCATTTATTCACTGTTATCTCCCGCGCCACTATCTACAAGCCCCCGCGCGTACGCTGCGACGGCCTTTTATCAACGGCAGAGCGTCCCTCGGGTTGCTAATTGCACATGGCTGCCTCGCGATGGAAATGACAGCGGCCGAATTAGTATGCGGGCAAATTGGTCCAGCGCTATGGATCCCCAGGTTGCCCATAAGTTCTAACATTAAAAAATGACAGTTTTGCCCACCAGAAAACATATCTCACGCCATTGGTGGCAGTACTCTCATCTTTTCAGCAAAAGAACACGCGTTCTGGTTTTTATCTAATAAATTAAAAATGTATTTAAACCTGCTCACTAGACGAAGTTTTTTTATTGTTGAGGTCAACCTACAAACGATCTGTATACTTGGGTATGATTGCAACGAAACATACAAGGTGTTCAGTGATGTAATTGGCCTAAGCCGTTTTGGAGCACCTTTCGGAGCAGCCAAAACAGTGTTTCGGAGCACCAAAAATGGCCTTCGTAGCAGATATTCTTAGAAAAATAAAAATATTCGTTTTACGTGCTGGACAAACGAAGGGCACTTTGCTCGCTGAAATAAACGAATTATAGTCAAGTTCGACCACCTAGGAGTCTTTCAAGATGTAACTGAAATGTCAATGACATGACAGATTTTGCAATGCTTCAGTTAAATGGTACCTATATATGTACCCACAATAGATAGATAAGAACCAAACTTAACAAATTCAAATGTATTTAAAAACTAAATTTCACATATTAAAAACTATTTGAAAATGACCAGCTTAGTAGTAAATTTCCCAGCATTAGGTTGACTAGTGATATAATATAATAAATGGAAGCAGTCTCCGACTGATGAAATACATAGCTACTGCAGTGCAATGCGAAATTGCACACAAGAAAATGGTGCTGTACGACTAGCGGGTACTTTTTGCTTTTCAAAACTTTCTGCGAAGCTGCTGCAAGCTTCGCTTTGGCTTAGGCTAGTAATGAATGTCCACTTTTTATGTCTCCAAAGAAACATTGAGACACGTACCCCACAAGTCTACAGCGCTCTAGGAGTTGCCGAAAAATTTTGAAAAACCGCTTCCCACCGTTTTACTGATTCCCGACGTGCCAGACTTTCGTCAAAAGTAAACGTAAAACAGTGGATTGCAAGCGTCGCGGCTGGTGCCTCTGTCGTGCAATGATGTTCGCATGCACATCAGGGCAACTTCGGCAGGCTTGCAGCTGCACATGCTTCGTCGCGCGAGCGGAGACGGCTGTTCGATCGAAACGGAAACCATGCCACTCCGCTCCGTCGCCAACTGGTCTCCAAAAATGTATGTAAAATGTAACTGCCCAGCATGCGACAAAAAATAGTTCAGCGGCGCGTGCTTGCAAGGCCGGCAGGCGAGGTACAAGCTAAACATACCAAAAAAAAGAAAGAACCTGAGCGCATCGATGCAGGACATCGCGAGTGAGGGTCAAAACGTTCTTGGAGCGCTTTGTGCAACGACTGAACTCGAGACAAACAAGCGCGCTGTGCGGGTTCAGCGTACATACAATTGCCTTCTTTGCTTTAGCTCACTTCTCTTCACCAACTTTCTTGCGCGACAGATTTTTCACGTACCGGGGTCCCTCTCGATAGAAAGTCAACCAAGAGAAACCTAGGTAATCAATACTTAGACACAGCAGTCTTCGAACTAATGAGGGATTTTTCGTAGTAGCGTCTGTTTTAAACAAGACCAGGAATGTTGATGAACATGCGGCGGTCCTTATGTTTCAGTTTAGGAAGCTCCATATCTGTACCGACGTGCGGACTGGCAGGCAGGACAATATAGTTTTCCCGTGGCCGTTGCTTGCAGAGGCGAGTGCTTCAGCTCAAAAAGTAACTCCCGCCGCGCAAAAACGTAATTTCGTTTCAGTGTGACGGCATCGTTGGTAGCCAGCACGTTAGCGTCGGAGCGTCCGCACAGGCCCGCCCATCTATAGTTGTAAAAATAAAAAAATAAAAAATGCGAGACGACATTTACGAGACGACGAGAGCGCGAAAGAAGAGACGGAGGGAAAAACCATGCGAGACTGGATGGGCGATTGATGTAACTAAAGCAAGGGTGCAGGCAAGCTGGTTCAATACTGAGATTGGAGTTTTTTGCCTGTCCTACGTCCCTTCTTTTTCCCGGCTCCAGGGTTACAATGTCACAATTGATGCAGAGTACTTTGTGTCGGGTGGCCGCTTGCGCCACCTTGCTCACGCATACTCAGTTACGGTACTCAGTTAAGTTTCGGTTTTGAAAGGCGACCAAAACTGGTCCTTTGGAGCAGGCTTGGCGCAGATTACCCATATTTTGGCAAAATGTAGCAGGATGTAGCAGGGTTAGCCCCTTGGCGCAGTTTGGCGAAATTGGCACACCAATCACATCACTGGGTGTTCTTTCTTTTCTTTTTTTCTTTTTTGTAATAGGATAATAAAGTCTAAACACAAAACTGGCCGGCGTTTATTTTTTCTGCCATTTGCTTTAAATTTCAAATTCAAAGCGTAACGCCAGTAGAAAAACAATTGAGTCATATCTATGAAGCCAAGAAGCGCAGAAATTAATGAAATAAGTAAGCGTAATTAATAGCGCAGGCAAGCTGGTGAAATGTCATACTGATAAAACTCCGAGACAAGGAGAACAAAAAATGAACAACACGACGACGTCTCAAAACCCAGCTTTTGAGACGCCATTGTGTTGTCCTTTTTTTTTTTTTTTTTCTTGTTTTCTCCTTGTCTAAGGGATTTATAGGCAGAAATTCATGTTCAAGATATCTCTTGC